TAGTCCACAAAAGCAACGTAGGACTCATGCTCCGTAGGAAGAGTTAGGGAAGCTAAGAGAGTGAAAAGAAGGAATGATAGCAGCACAGCTATGGAGAGGAGAGAACTATGACATTGTGTCTGGTAGAGGATTGTAAAAGTCTAAAAGGACAAACACTAGGTGGCAGGGAGTTCTTCCTTTGTGGTTGTTCAGCATTCTGCTGCAGAACAGCAAAGCCAGGTCTGGACTGTAACTCCTCAGTTTTCCAGAAGCTAGAAATTAACAGGGCTGACAGTCATATTTTGGAATATTGCATAGCTGAGTAGTGCCTCTTATACTTTTTGATATATCTTGCATTTTGAGATTATTTTTTTTAAGTGTACTTACGTAGGTAATAAAGAAATTTCAAAAGCCTTTCATACTGCATGCTTCTTCCCCTGGAATGTTGCACCAGGCCTTCAAAATTCTTACTGAATTGCAATCCAGATGTCTCAGAACTATTTCCCTCTCCATGTTTTCCCTGCTCTCAAATGGAAGGGCTGAGGAACAGAGCAATCTCAGTAATCTAGCTGCGGATTCACCATCAGAAGTTACAAATAGCCCTGTTCTTGTTACTGTACTTGTGACCTGATGCATGAATTCATCTTCAGAATTAATGTTTAGAGGAATGTAAAAGAGTTTGAGTCTTTAAGGAAAAATTCCAATGTATTCTTATTTTCCATAAGCTATTGATTTTAATGTGATGGCAGGTCTTGCAACAGAATATCACAGAATCACAGAATCATCTAGGTTGGAAGAGACCTCCAAGATGACCTAGTCCAACGTCTGACCTAACACTAACAAGTCCTCCACTAAACCGTATCACCAAGATATGTTATAACATATCACTAATATACAGGATGACATTAAAAATACCATGATACTCATGACAAACATACGTAACTTGATGTTGGAGGCAGCAGACCCTAGCCAAAACCACTCTGCCCATGGCCACCAGAGCACTTTCCGTAGTGTTATTCCTCATTCCAGGAATATGGTACACTGAAACCTAAGGTGATCCCACCAAGAGCCAGCAAAGGTCTGGCAGGCCGTTCTAGCCTTAAATTACAAAAGCAGCTGTAATGCCATCAGAGCCAGGGGAGTTTTGAAGCAACACAGCTGCACTTCTCTGTGCAGCCACAGCTTGTACCTGTGGCACAGATAATCCACAGCCTGGTTAATCCACGCAGAGATAATTGGTAATCAGCAGTGCCTTCACACTGGTAAACACAGGGGCATGAATAATTCGTGATTCATTTACGTGTTTGTTACAGTATTTGTTACAGCCAAGGAGACAAGTGTAAGTGTACGAGGCTGGCTCTTCAATGATCTCTGAAAACAGACACAAATCCAGAGGTTTTACCTGTCTGGTTTTAGTGACGAGCTCATTAAGAAACCCCTTTTAATGCCATAAATTTCACATGCCAGAATCACTCAGATAAATGTGAGGTCTCTTATTTCAGTGTAGATGGCCTGATCACAACAACTTTGTCTTGGACCTACAGTATAATGAGTCTGAGAAAAACTGAGGAAAAACCAAGGGGTTTTGGACACAGGGTGCACGCCCTTGTACTACGGTCACTGCCACGTGGCTCCCTACATCAAATCAGACACACAACCTGGTAATGAGGCAAGTCCCTAGGTGCCTGGCCAGGCAAATCCACCCTACACAGCGCAGATATTTCATTATTCACATAAAACCAAAGAGTGATGTGGTGGTTGGGTACAAAAACTGGTACAAATCTCGAGAGCTGGTTGCTCTGTGAGGAAAGGCAAGGGAAGCCAGCAGGAAGAGCTATGGATTTATGTACAAAAAGCCAGGCTGGGGGACGTGGGGCAGTAAAAATCGAAGGAAGGACGGGGAAAGCGGCCATGAAACGCTTCAGCCCCTGAGGGGGGGGCACAAAACTTTCCAGGGGGCCACCGGGCCCTGAGGGACCTCCAGGCCTCACCCCCACCCACGCGAACTACAACTCCCAGCACCCCCCGCGGCCGGATAAGAGGCGGGCGCGTTCTGTTTCCCCATCCCCCCTTTGATTGACAGCCGCCGCGGCCTTTGGGCGGGCGGCGGGGCGGCGGCTCCACCAATGGCAGGGAGGCGGGGGCGGGCGCTGCCCTTACGCCGTCGCCGGGCCGGCTGCGGAGGGTGAGGGCCGCAGGGCCGGGGGGCTCTGAGGGGAGGAGGGGGGGGGGGCGTGATGGCGGCGGGCTGAGGGGAAAGGGGGGGGTGGGGGGGGCAGCGCTGAGGGGAGCCCAGGGGGTGGCTGAGGGGAGCCCAGGGGCCGGCTGTGGGGCCAGGGCCGCTCCTCGCCGCCGTGTGGCTGCCGGGTGAAAGTTTGGGCTGGGTTCCTCTTTGTTTTGCCCTTTTTATTTAGGGTGCTGGGGGGGGGGCGCGGTGTGGGTGTGGGGGGGGGCGCTGGGTGCCCGGGGGGGGTCTCTGGGAAGCCGGGGGGCAGGGGGGGCTCCTGGGCTGCCTCTGGGCCTGGCCCCACAGGGAGCCACCCCCACTGCTTGTGTTTTTTATTTTTTTTACGTCTTTGGTGCTGTTTCCTGTTGCAGAGGTTTGAAGAGGGGAAATAAGCCCAATTTTAAAGATCTGTCATGGCCCTGCCCTGACAAATATTGCATGGGCTGCGTGGGGTCACCTGCGCCTGGCGGGTACCAGGCCATTGCCTTGCTGCTGCCTTCAAACACTGCCTTTAGCCAGTTTTTGATGTTTGGGGTGTTTACCAAATCCAGTCTTGTCCATATTAGTCAGATGTGACGGAAATGCCTGCCTCTCCTTCAGCTGATTTGCTTCAAAGCGTTCTGGGCTCGTGGCGGATCAAAACCTTGTTTTAAGAGCGGTGTGAGGGAAGCTTTCGGTTTGTGCTGACCAGAGGATTCAGTTTGCAGGACTGTCATTCAGACATGTTAATTGAGCTCAACTTACACACGGCAGATGTACTAACTTCTTTTTAGAACAAAAATACGAACGGAAGGCTGAAGTCATAAATATGGGGCACAATATTCCTCTGCTCCTATTATAAATAACATCTATGTGGCTTTACCATTATTCTTCTGAAGTATCTACCTGTACAGAGGAATGCCGGTGGTTATAGTACTTAAAATATCAATGGGTTAGCTAGAATAGGCCTTGAACTGTGCTGTTATGAGGACAAATACTTAAGCCTTTGGGAGAGCTGAATGGCAGGAGCAGTAAGTGCACGTGGAGAGCTCTGTGTGTGTGAGGAGGGGTCAGCAGCTCCTGCTGCTAACACCTCGTCATGCAGTGATGCAGAAAGTTCCCTAAAATTTGGAAGTACGTATTGGCTTGCTGAGTTGATCTGCAAAGTTTTCATATTTAAAAAAAAAGAAGTCTTTAGCTTAAAAAATAAATAAATCTGGAATTTTGAACTGGTTTCCGAGTGCATGTTGCCACAGGTATAATAGGTGACCTTACTGATAGCTTCAGCTGCAGTGATGTGATGCTTACAGGTTGTTTTGGGGAGGAGAGGTGTTGGTGCAGTAACTCTATTTGTGTCGGCCTGTCGGAGCCCTGATGCTGGGTTTCCATAGAGACTGCTGGAGGAGGAGCATGTGGGCCTTAGGAAATAATTTGGGCTCTCTGGGCCTGCATAACGAATCATGATTTGGTAGTCCTGAGGTCTTGAAAAATCTTTTAAGGAATTCTGGTTACAGAATGACAGAATGGTTTGGGTTGGAAGGGATCTTGAAGGTGACCCAGTTCCCACCCCCTGCCATGGGCAGGGACACCTCCCACCAGCCCAGGCTGCCCAAATCCCATCCAGCCTGGCCTTGGGCACCTCCAGGGCTGGGGCACCCACAGCTTCTCTGGGCAGCTTGTGCCAGGGCCTCACCACCCTCTGAGGAAAGAATTTTCTTCTTATATCTAATCTAAATCTCCTCTCTTTTAGCTTAAAGCCATCCCCCCTTGTCCAGTCACTGCACCCCTGACAAAGAGTCCCTCCCCACCTTTCCTGCAGCCCCTTCAGGCACTGGCAGGCCGCTGTGAGGTCTCTTGGAGCCTTCTCTTCTCCAGGCTGAACAACGCCAGCTCCCTCAGCCTGTCTCCATAGGAGAAGTGCTCCAGCCCCTTGACCATCTTCGTGGTCCTCCTCTGGACTTGTTCTAATGCATCCATGTTCTTGTGTGTGAAGCCCCGGAGAAATTAGTGAGTGTGTCACCAAGTGTGCAGTGTTTGAACAGCTTTGTTTATCTCTTCTTGTATGACGCTAATTTGATCTGTGGTATACTAAAGAAAATAAGCTTTATTTTTCATCCTCCTTCTTGCGGTTCAGACAATTAGCATTCAGCAAAGATTCCTGAGTAAGCCAGTAACTTAGTGTGGAAATCTGTAGCCCCGCAGAAGAGGTTTGTTCTTCCAAGAAAAGAATGTTGCTGGATCAAGAGGCTCCTTCCAGAGTCCTAATAAATCCCAGCAGTCTGGCGTTCCCTGTAAGCATGTTTGTTGTGAGGTGGCTTTGGTTAATGCTGGTGGTTTGCTGATGGTTTATTTTAGGGTGGCTTTAGGGCGATGAGCACCCCTACGGATACCCACTCCCAACTTTCTTCTGCAGAAGAACTTCCCATGGAGGTTGGGGTTTGATCCAGCAGCAACCAGAGCAGGACAGAAACACGTGTGCCTTGTGTGTGCTCTGCGTCAAGAGCTGTAACAATCGGTATGAAGAAATCCTTCTGGTGGTGCTGGGACATTCAGGAGGATAAAGCAGCTGAATAGCGACACGGGGCTGTCACCTCAGTGTGAGCTGAAGCTCTCTGTGTTGCTTTGAGGCCTGGTGTTACCCTGACACCTCACAGTAATCCCATAAATGATGCATTTCTGGGCCTCCTGGTGAAGAGGTGTGGGAATGGTTAACGGAGGTAAATGGCTTTAGTGTGACGGATCCGCTACTGTGCGGTACTTCCTCATCGTCATCCTCCCCCCCCCCCGATAACTTTCCAAATGTAAGTGGTTTTGGTTGTGTTGTTTTGTTGTTGTTCTGGGCTGTGGTGCTGTTGATTTTCTCTGTAATAGCTCTCTGGCATTTAGGCCACTCCTGGCCAAGGAAAAGATCTCTAAAAGATTTCAGTTAAAACGAATTCTAGCAGTTTGTAATTTCAGCTAAGCTTGTTTAAAGCTTAATTCTTTATGCTCCTCAGATGCGTGTATCAACAAATATTTCCCAGCTTTTTAATGTCCAAGTATTTTTCCCGTTCCCTGTCTGAGGAGAACAGAGGGAAATGTCTCTTGGCTTCCTTGGTGCAATGAACTTAGCAAGAAGCCACGCCATCGGATTCTTTATGTAACTCAGATGTTGCTTGGTCTCGTTCATCTTGCTGATGTCTGGGGGAAACTGCTTTGCCAGAGTTATTTTTGGTTTCAGTGGAAGCTGTCGGATGAAGATGGGGCCTTTGAGCAGCTGGGGTTTGAGGGAGCTGCTGGTAGGCTTACGGGTGGTTCTCTCTTTGCCATCCCTCATCCCTTGTGCTGCGTGTCCTTCCTGCAGTTTGTAGGAGCACAGAATCAGATGCGGTCTTGTTTTAAAAGTTCTTGTTCCCTCTTCCAAAAATTGAGTAAAACAGGATCTTCCTGTGGGAAGGGGTGGGTGACAGTGCACAAGGACTTCGGAAACTTGATCTGCTGTGAGCAGAACCTGCCAGTGGGCTTACGGGCCACTAACAGCAGCACTAGACAGGTAGTCTCTTACTAAATAATAATTTGAACTTATTTTTTTGCAATTCAGTGGCAATTTTAAAATGAGGGGAAAAAAGGCAGAAAATTGAGAGGTGTGTTGTGTTGGTTTAAACTGTGCCTAAATGCATCTTTTGCCTTAGGGAAAGTGCTAAAAGTAGTGTAAAGGTATTCTCAGGCATGTCTTGTGTCACAGTTCATGTTAATAGGTCTTAAAAAAATAGTGATGTAAGAAATATAGACCATGTTTAAGAGGGGGAATAACATTCAGTAGGTTTCCTTGAGCTGAAGGTTATAACTGATGACCAAATTCATTCCATCCCCTGGGGGGTCTCAGCATTTCTTAACCTAGGAAGAGGTTAATAGCCTGCTAATTAGTTTGTACCTCCATTGACACGGGAAAAAAAAGGAGAGGGGAGATCTGGGTACAGATGGTGAAGTTGTGGGAGCCTGAGCGACCTCAGCAGTGCTCGGGCACGTGCTGGTCCTTGTGCTTAGGAAGGTTGTGCAGTGGATGGTTGTAGATTTACTTCATATTTTTAGTTTTACTTGGTACTTTGAGATCATACATCTGTGTGCCCAGGGTGCTCCTGCCAAGCCTTGCCTGCTGCCAGGCCTGTAAAGACATGCTATGGACAGGAGATTCTGGGCAATTTCTGACCCCTGTAGGTAAAAGCAGCGGTGCATCAAGTGATTTATTTATTTTTTTGAGACAGATCTGTAACACAACTGCATAGACATGATGGTTGGGCACTTAGTAGGCTGTGAAGGCTTCAGCTTGGTCTTCTGTGCACTAAAATGCAGGCTGTCTGTTAAGGAATATTTTTCCTACTACTCTGTAACGCTCTGTCCTCTGAAATGAGTTATTTGGTTTGTTTGGGGTCCCCCTGCTGCTCCCTGTCATGTTTGGACACGTGATAGCTTTTCTATAAGCAGGCTTTACATCGTGAACTTCAGTCCCGTGCCAGCTGCTGCGAGAACCAGCTTAGTGCTTGCTCCCTGGAGCAGTGAGCTGCCTGCTAGCAGGGCCGTGCACACCTACAGCTCCTTCAGAACAGGGGCTGTGAACTCCTGTTCTCATACACCAGGGACCTGTGAGCAGTTCCACGCTGATGTTCCTGTGCTCCACTTGCTTTAGCTTCCTTTCAAGCTGTTCAGTTGGAATCTCGAGGTGGCTTGGAGAAGAGAGAACTGCTTACCTCTAGTTTTTGTTCTCTGGAGATGGCTTCTTGTGACACAATTCCCGGTGACTTCTGCCCACACACAAACATTGCCTGAAAAGAATCAGTTGTTTTTCTCAGATAACACTTAATTGGGACTCCTTGGTGTTGTGTGGTTGTGGGTTTTTTTGTTTTTTTTTGTGGTGTGCTATTGAACTGCCTTATTCTGATGTTTAGCTTAGGAAATGGGCAAACACAAGTGAGGCTTCAGGCCCATCTGCAGGTATCTGAGGCTTAAATGCTCCTGGGACTTGCAGCCTGGCTTTGGTCAGCAGCTAGTGGATCAGGAATGGGAACCTTAAAGCAGGTGTGTTGAAGAGAACAAGAGTTACAGATAGGTAATCTTCTCTCTTCTTTTTTTATAGGTTTGGAAGAACATCATTCTAAGATATTGAGAAATCTGGACTTTTTAACAGTGTACTACCTCAAGAAGGAATATATATGTAATATATATATATATAAGGAATATAATATAAGGAATTGAAAGTTGTAGCTTCCTTGCATTCAATTTTATGGTATTTGTACCTCTTATTTTTTCTGTAACTTTAGATCAAGAAACACCATGAGTACAGTAAGTATTTCACTAATCAATGTAAAACTGCTTTTTAAAGTGTCTTGTTTATAGTACTTCTGTAAATCTTTAAGATTTATTGTATGTATGCTAACATATTAGGTTCCTATATAAGCTCATGTTCTGTGTTACTTAAAAATAATAATAAATTAATCTCTAGGAGCTAGCAGTGTTTCAGGAATGCTTAAAATGTCAGCAAAAACTTTAGGTCAGACTGATCAAATGGTTGGCTGAAAGCTAACCTCTGACATAATTGTGAGCTCATCTTCTCAGTTGTACGCCATCACAATATGTGTCATAATTATTTTTTTTTTGTGACTCAGCTGGCTGGAGATCTGGAGTGATGTCTTCCTTAGTGTGATGAGTTGAGATAGGACTGCCCCATCCCACTAGTGTGTCCATACTGCAGCCTTCTAGTGATGTGTTTTGTCCATCTTTGTATGCTGTCGTTGATGCTGCAGAAGTGAGGTCTCCACTAACATTACTCTTAAAACTCTGAGGCTTTGTTCTCTCTTAGACTCAAAGAAAGCGCCGTGGAGGATCGGTGAATTCTAGGCAAGCTCAGAAACGAAGCAGGCTGATAGCTTCCACCACGGAAATGGCTTCAGAAGCAGAGCCAATAGAACTTGAAGAAAGTGGTAAGCTTTCTCTTTAATTTGGTAAGAGAATCACCTGCTTCTGGAGTGTTGGGATCCCACCTAACACATTTTTTATCAGTTTGAAGGCATTTTAAAGGAGAAGAAAAACCTAATTATTCTAAAATGCCTGTAGTATGGAAACTGTAAACAGCAAGGCTGCTGACAACTGTTTAAGTTGGTTACTGAGGTGTGATATGTTCACTGCTACAGCTGAGTTACGTAAGGAAGGTACGCAAATGCTCAAATATCAGGCTGTTTACTGGGACTCACTGCAGCTGCCTCTGCAGATAACAGCAAAGTAAATTTGGGAACTCCCAAGTTTTAAAAAGATAATTAAAAGTTTGTTGTCCTGTCCCTTAAGGGCCCTTGTCCAGTATCGTTTTGCAAAAAGCACTAGGCTTTTAAAAATAATACTTAAACTGCCTTCTTTGGAAAGAATTAAAAGTAACTGTTGGTCTGCAGGTAGCTATACGGCTTTTTGTCTTTTTGCTGTGCATTTAACTACTAAAGGTTTGAGGAGGCGTGAGACGAGAACATTTACAGCATAGCACTGGAAAACTCTTATGTCCTGTATGATCTGTGTTTTATGGTGTGATAAATGTTCTCCTATATTGGATGAATAATCTGTTGCTGCATACCTCCTGCAAGCTATTGACGTATGAGAAAGTGTGAGGTCAGCTGCTGTTACTCTTGCAGTGTGACTTGCAAAAGGCAGTGATGTTAATGCTATATGTGGATTATTGAGAGCAAAGCTTGAGTGAAATGTTAGATAAATTTCTGAAGAGAAGAGGGATAGGGCAGTGTTGAATCATACCTTAGCGTGTCACACACTGACAGATGATTTTAGTCCTGTGATCGCTGATATGGATTCTAACGTTGTGTTTTTAAGCTGGTGAAGAAGTTGTAGATCTCACGTGTGAATCTTCTGATCCTGTAGTAGTTGATCTAACTCACAATGATTCTGTTGTGGTAAGTAATGAATGACACACTTCACATCTAGATAGTGAAGTCAAATTTTGTATTGTGCTTGCTAGTAGAATTTTTAAGAATGAGTTCTAAGTTCAGAGTTGACTTCTTAATGCACAAAAGCCGTGCACTGGAGGTCAACACAGAAGCTGCTCTGAAGGTGCTCCTTAGCACAAGCATTCTTTGGGTACAGCAGTGTAGTCTCTCCCTACTTTCCTGGAGTGCTGTAAATCTGCACGGGCACTCTTCTTCAAAAAACAACTGGTTAAATGTCTCTGAGTTTAACCAATTTAACCAGGTTAAAGATAATGATATGCCTTTTCATAGTGTAGACAGGATGGTGAATGCATTTCAAGTATGACGTTCTCTAAGAATCTAGGCCCCTTGTTCACTAAATGTTGAAGGTACTTGAGCTGCACAGTGGCTGCTCCCATACTGCTCTCTGGGTTTTGGAGCAGTATAGTTATTTGGAGCATAATGCACAGGCTCCTCAGTTATTTTTGTGGGTTGCAGTGGTGTGTTCCTTAATAGCTAGGTACAGACCTTACTGCTGCTAATCTAAGGATCAGAAGTCTGGCGTGCTTGTCATGGCTGTCATGAATGCTTAAGAACCCTACTGATAATTACTAAGCTTGAGGAATCTGGAAAACTAAATGCTAAGGCATTAAAGAGTTCTATTGAAATGTGTATTTGATGAATATTTGAAGATCTGCACAGTAAAAGTAAATTGATATACTGACTGCAGAAGTAAGCTTAAGCTTTATAAGATTTGGGTTTGGGTCATAATTTACCAAGACCTTAGATCTTCAAAAGCTCATCTTCTAGACATACAGCTCCTGAAATCTAAGTAGCCTGACTTAAAGGGTTAAAACCTGGCTCTTATTTAGCACTTCAGAGTTCACATTCAATGCCAAATGGATTTATAGGTGTAGCTACATCTATGAATATCACCTGCAGATAATGCAAGCACAATCTAAAATAGCTTGTTGCTCCAGATCTCAGGGTTATATACCTGTCACGGGTAATGTAATAGAAGCAGATGCTACTTAAAGTTGGAGCTGTGTTAGATATATCAAAGATAAAGGCCAATGATTTAAATAAAAAGTGGAGGAGGTAGCAATAAGTCTTTGACTTCATAAATATGAAGTGATTAGTTGAAACGTTAGTTTAAGGTGGCAAGCACAACTGTAGCTGACTGTTAGAAACTAGTTCAGTTTCTTACTCCAAGAACTCCTTAAAAAAAATCCACTTTGTTGTTACTGCTATTTTTAAAGCTCAAACAGTATTTGATCCAGCCTATGGTGTAGTTAATGGCTGTTTTGGGGTGCCACTACTGCTGCACAGAACCACAAACAAGCAGCAGGAGTAACAGGGAGGGTATTTCATGCTAAGATTGTTCCTGAGCATGTACGTAGGGAAGGTCACAAACGTTTTAATGTAATCTGTGTTGCCTTGGTTCTAGTTCCACCAAAAATAATAGTGGTTTGGTTTTCTGTTTAGGTTTATTTTTTTTTTTAGCAATTGCTATCTAATATGAAGTGTTTAGGGATTTCTCACGTGAATTTGCTTGTTTGGGGGAGAAGGAGCTGAAGAATCACCTCCAACCCAAATCAAATTGGGGTACTGAAACTGGGGGACAGGGAGAAGGGAGTCAGAAGTAAGAACTTGTAAATTACTTGTTGCTGTGAAACTACTTTTAACACATTGTTAAACAAAATAATATAATGATATCCTAAAATTCTTAGCTTGCTTTATTGTTAATTGCTTACCTTATCAGATGCTTGTACATAATGCTTGGGGATGCATACCAAAAATCTAATTTTATTTTTCTTCTCTCTCCCATACCATATTGATGCAAGATTGTTGAAGGTGAGTTGACGTTTTACAAGTGACAATAGAATTGTCCTGAACTTATTTTTTTATTTTATTTTCCAACAAACTTGAGCAGTGTGGACTGAAACTGTGTTTGACAAAAGACAAAGAGCAGTGCTACAGTATCTGGCCAGTGTTTTGGAGAACAGATCCAGTCTGTGTTTCATAGTCTCTATGGAAGATGATATAAAGTATCTGAAATAAAATCCATCACAGTTTCTCAAAATATATTTTTCTTCCCAAGTACAGAACTTCTGTGAGCCTGAAGCGAACAATCAATTTAACTAGCACTTTTAGCAGTAGAATATCAGCTTTGAATAGGAAAATGTTGAAAGGTCTTATTAGCCTGTGTTGCAGTGAAGGAACTGAAGTAGAAAGATGTCAAAAGTCATAGTATTCACTTTAATTGTGTAGCCTATCTCTCCTCAAATTTAATACTGGTAAGTGCTAACAAATACAGATTTTTTTTTCTACTTCATGTATTACAGTAGTTGTAGAATAGGTATAAAGAACTTAATCCTTCACATCTTTCAGACCTTGCTCTGATTATAATATCTGAGATGCGTTAATATGTTGTTAGCTGCTTACTTAGAATGTAATCCATTCTGGGCTCTGAATGACATGAGCAAGTGAATAAAAATGTATGCAACAAAAGTTCTAGCTGAAAAATAATGCAGAAAGGAACTTAAATTTTATGGCTGTTGATGTAATGTTAATCAATCCTTCATGGTTGCACCTTCAATGTTGATGTAACAACAAAAAAATAACTGTTGCATGCAGTTTCTAATTGTTAAAAAAGCAAGCAGCAATTCTGTAACCTTTGGATGCTACAGGCCAGGTAATTATTTTGATCTGTTTTTATTTGGACAATATGAACTCCATTTTCAAGTTGCACTAACTCAGGAGGATGATGATGAAAATGTGTAAGGAGACACTACTTCAAGTATTTACGTAATCTGCCAGATACTGTTCTTAAAAAGGCTTATTTTGTCAAAACTGCTTTTGAGTAGGGCGATTTGATTTAAGACAGACAAAAAGAGTGGAACGCTTCAGTATACCTGGATAGAGCAGTGAGAAACCACAGCAGCTGCATAATTTAAATGTTTAGACTTAAGCATGTCTTCCATCAATTCTGAAAAATTACTTATTTTAGATGTTGTTACTGGAAGAATATTCTGAGTGTGTGTGTGTGTGTACACACATATGGTCGATAATCCCCTGAAGCAGCAACTGGCTGCTGGCAATGATATCCCTGCCCTAAGCAGTTTAGGTAATTGTGGGGGATGGTGCTCCCTTCTAATCTCATGCATTATACAGTTGTGAACAAAGTGCTCTCTGTTTTGTCAGACCTTTTTGTTGTGCTACCTCGCCATGCTACTTGGAAACTTGTCTTTTTTCTCTTTTTTTTTTTTTCATTTCCTTTAGAGAATCAAGTAGCAATTGTTCCAGTTCCTCAACGTTGTATCATAGTAGTTAGAAGTAGTTAGATTTCTTCTGTTAGACATTTCTTCCAACATTTCTTCTGTTAGAAGTCTGGAGAGGTAGCCTCCCTTTATAGGGGCGTTCTATTCACACGTAGTGTAATGGTATGGGAACTTAACATACAGACAAGCTTTAAGGTCAGGTTTTGGCTGTTGTAGAGAGAATAGAGCAAATGTTTTGTGTCAATATGTAACAGAATATTCAAAGCGTCTGGAAATGTCCATCCTCAATATTGAGGAAGCTTTTTTTGTTGCTCTTAATGGAGATGAATATGTTTTAGTCCACTTTAAAATTACAACTGTTAGTCTACTCACACATTTCAAGGTTAGTTACAGGGCTATATATTTTATAGTGTATCTAACTTTAAATAAATAATTTACAGAGAATCAACGGCGAAGGAGAAATCTCAGACTAAGAAGCCAGCGGCAGTCAGACAGCTGTGTGCTGAGCAGCGATGATGAAGATGAAACAAGAGATAATGATGTTTATGTAACAGATAAAGTGTCTCGAGAATTGGGACCACTGGAGGATGAAACTGCAAGTTCAAAGTATGTATGCCTTACGACCTAATAAATATTAGGTTTTGCCCTTTTTTATACATACAGGACTAATTTATGTTGTTATAATCAGTCTTGGCTTTGAAATCTTACTCTAGTTTGCCACTCTCGATGAGTACAGCACCACGTTTCACATACTGACAAAATGATGTTGTTTGCACTTCTGCAATAAAAAGCCAGCCCAAGAGGAACGCACAGCTTTGCATACAACCTTTAAGATGAATGTGGGGGTGTGTCAAGGAAGGAGGATTAGTGACAAGCCATCGCTTATAATGTGTTATACTTCCTTTTCATGCAAAGCTCCAGTAGTGCTGTTATGATATGGAAGTACTTTCACTGGTGTGGATGAGGTTTAGTGTTACAATCTACTAGAGTAACTATGAAAGCAGGTATCTATGCGACTAGGGCAGACAAAGAACATGAGAATTGGTATAAATGTCTTGTAAAATGTTTGAGAGAGGGGGGAATACACATTTTATTTAGGGTTTTAATGTAGTCTTTCATTTAGCTCACTGATTGTATTGCTGTGTGCTTAGACCATGCTGTCCAGGCTGTGTTGTTACTGTCATAGAATCAAAAAATCAGTAAGGCTGGAAAAGACCTTTAAGATCAGCTGGTCCAACGTACTCTCTGACTAGGAAATAGATGAAATCAAGGTGAAACTGGAGTGCAGTGGATAATAAACTAAAGGGAAAAAATCTGTTACTCTTCCCAATAAATATATTTCCTAAACTCTTCTTTGAATGGCTTGATTTCATATTTAAAACTTAGTCAAATTTGACAGCTGACTTAGCCACCCCTACTCAGTAACAGCACTGTTCTTAGCTCATTGACAGTTTTACAGCTTTGAATAGGGTGTCCCCATCTGACCTTACAGCATAAGGTACTAGATCTTAGGCAAGTAAATGGCATTTATGATGCAACTGATCCACCTCATCTGGTTTTCAGGGAATAAAGGATAACAAATTGGCTAAAGATGCGCTAATAATCTTAAAGCTTAAGAGCACTGGTGAAGAATTTTGTTTTTAAAATTTAAGTGGTCTGTGGTGTTGACAAAAACCACAGTGTAAACATTCCCAGTATAACAGCGTCAGTGTGCTAACTTATTTGGCTTTTTTGGCATCTCAGTGTCTGTAGGCATTTACATGTGGCCTTAACTCTCAGATTTTCTTAATCCTTTTGGGTATCTTCAATTCAGGTCCTCCTGTTTTGCCCCAGCAATGTGATGAGTTAAAACCTTCATTGTGACTTTAAAAAAAAAAAAAAAATACTTATTCAAGCAGTGGTCAGTTCTTCCATTGTGCATTCATGAAAGTATGCAGTCCGTCTTTTTTTATATATATACAACTCTGCACTCTGTGACAGGACTACTTGAGCATGCTTTGGGAAGCAGCTCCATATACTGATAATTTTATCTTGTTGGTGTACTTTGAGCCTTTTAGTTTAGTGGAGGGCAATATAAGAGAGAACATGAAAATTTTGTGTGTCAGATTCTTAATATGCAACCTGAAATGCTTGTATTTGAAAACAGAGTGGATTTGGCCAATGAGTTAGTGATCTTTTTTGTTACTTTTAGCCTTTAAATATATATATTATATGAATAAATCCCACTACTTAGTTAATGCAGAAATGTTATGTCATGTTTAGCTATCTTAAGCTCAGGCTTCTCTGTTAGATTGGGCCTTCTTGGTCCATTTAGGTATGGCTATGACAGCTCAGTGCTGCAGCTTTTAACGTTGCCAGAAAGATACTGATGATGTAGATTGCTGCAGAGCCTTCACAGCGTTGGGCTGCTGAGTTACGTTACTCCTGCTTACATGGAGGTTATCACTACTTGTAATTACTGAGTTGGTATAATAGCTGCTGCATGAAGAATTTGAGTAGTAAAAATGGGGGAATCAATAGAATTAAATTATGTATGTGAAACTAGGCGTAGACTTCAGTACTTGCTGCTTGAATTTAAGATTGTGGGATGGAAGGTATCGTGTTTTCTGTCCCTGTTGTGATTAATAAATTATAAACTGTTACCTAACATGGGAGGTTACACCGTAAAGCCAAGTGTTTATGGTAAAGACTTATGAAAGCAGCTTACTTTGATCATTTAAAATCAAGATTAATCTGTCAATAAAAGTGGCAAAAAGCTCTTACTCTTTCTAATAGAGAATATCATTCAGCACTTACGTTACAAAACACTCCCCCATGCAGGGTAGCTCAGCCTGTTAGTACGCAGTGCTTGCAGTACATCTGACTTGGAGAGGGAAGGCAGGAGGGGGTGCCTGTGTGACCTCAGCTTGGAAATGGCCACCCAGTTGGTCTTCTGAGCCAGTTTTGTTTTTTTTTAATGTTTCCTCATGTTAGTGTGTGACTTAACTACATCTTTCTCCCATTTTTGTCGATGGAAATCAAGTTGTTTCCCCTAAGTAAAGGAGAACCGAACTGCTTATTAAAAGCAAGGAATTTAGGGAGTTAAAGCTGTGCAGGGATCTTCAGATGTAGTGCATCATCATGGCTGTTCTGTGCAGTCAGATGATTACCTGACATTTTATGTATCAGTAAATGTCAATGTACCGTGAAATTAATGGATGTGTTTCTTTTTCACTTTTTTTATTCCCTTTACCACAAGGCCTTCTGGTACCGTGAGTTGTCCGATTTGCATGGATGGCTACTCAGAGGTAAGGACCCACACATTGTCGTCATTTCTTTAATGTGGGAGGGGGAATGGGGAAGAGGTTGCGCAACACAGCTCTGTTAGGTCGTGTGGGACAGCACAGACAGCTAGCTTGAAGTCCAGATTTTGGTTCCAAGGTCAAACTGGCTTGTAACTCAATGTCATTTCTTATTAGTATACATAGAGGGAGAAATACTTTCCAAGATGGCACTGAGAGTTGGGTTCCTTATAGTAATAATGTACTGGCTATAGATATTCAAGTGCTATTTAGCTGGTGCCAATAGACCAGCAAAGCTGAATTCCTTACTCCAAATACCTGTTGTGGTTTCTTTTCTTCCAGATTGTGCAAAGCGGGCGACTTATTGTGTCAACCAAATGTGGCCATGTTTTCTGTAGTCAGTGCCTCCGTGATTCCCTTCGGAACGCCAATTCCTGCCCAACCTGTAGGAAAAAACTCACTCACAGACAATACCATCCAATTTATATATGAGTACTTAACATTTCTCAGGACAGATTCAACTGGATTTCTGGGGAAAATGTCTTGGTTTCAGTGCTCTGAAGATTTAAGGAGCAGCAGGTTGTGAACACATCCAAATAAAACTGATTTTTTTTGAGAATAACTTGTACATATATAAACAGCTTTTTTATGGTCCAAGCTGCTTCTTGTTATGTCACTGGTTATAATGAATTTATGACTGTCTATAAACTAGACCAGCAGCCTATATCAGAAATGAAGCAGCTAATCCATTTCCTTCTACTTTTTTAATGCGTAAATAAGGGGGGTCTGAATATTTTGTTATTTGTAACTCTTGAAATTATTCCCACCATTGCGTATGGATATGAAATAGTTACCTTTCAAAATACAGATGAACAATTTGCCATTTCATTACTCTTTTGTTTTTATCCTATAATATGCTCATTACTATATTATTTTCTGCTGAATCATCTTTGTCCAAGTAGAATAAGTTCTGTAACAATTGATCATTTCATCATAAATCAATATGAAATTGACACCCAGGGTAATGCAATAAAATAACCTGCTGTTAACCAGCAGTCAGATTTTTTTTAAAGCAGAAAGCTTGAACATGTAGATGTCTTTATGAACTCCATGAGATCTGAAGTACGTAGCCAAATTGCAACATGTACAACATGAAAATAGTTCTTTGAATGTTTTAACTGCCAAGAATTCCTGTATTTGGATCACAACAATGAATTTATTTTCTAACATGATGAGATGGTCACTTGGGTTTACCACTCTATAGAGCTCTGTCTCCTTGTACCTGAGGCGAATGTAGTCTTCTCTAGGCTTGCTAGTGATGAATAAGAAGCAAATTGTATGCTTTGCTCTTGTCAGCTGAATACCAAACTACCCAGACAGATCTTGCTGTATCAAGTGTACCCAGTGCAATGCTTCAAGTGCAGTACGTTCACTTCACTGTTCTCTTCAGTCGCTCTGCTGACACACTTGGCTGGTTTCAGCCTGATGTATAGTATCAAAATTTAAATAATTGCAGTACCATGAATTTAGAGGAAATAGAGACTTTAAAAGACATATGGCAGCAATCTTGACTTGAAAATTTTTTGAAAGAGAAGCTTAAATTGTCTTTGCCCTGAGGGTCATGCATCTTTCTTTTAAAAAGAAGTCAGGTACATGTCAAAGGAGAGAACTCTTCTATTTAAACAAGGCAGGAATACACATGCGTATGCACTGCTAGCCAGTTATTTCTCTTCTTCTAGGACTAAGATATAAATGTCTGCTTAAACCTGATACAGCTAAACTCTGCCAGCTGATGTGGAATCCAAGATGGGCTGATACAAATAGGATTTTAATAATTAAATGTAGATGAGATGATTAAAATTGGTGCTTTATTGTCCATATATGCAGTAGCTGCATCTGTAAAGGTTGAAATTCAGTATGTTTTAAAAAAAAAATGCAAAATTAAATTGTTAAGCCTCCTTTTGGAAGTTTGTTAATTATGAAAGCCATTAGAAGTAGCATTCTGTGCTCTGGTACAACAGAATTGTAGGAAGCGTTTAGTTAACATTGATGTCTGATGTATCTTTGCTAACATGTCCTAGCGATCTGTAGGAAGCCTTTAATTAAAGCAGCTCTTCTAATTAGCTGTCCTAAGTTCTTGATTGAAGATGGCAATCCAAGAGCTGAGTTTCTTCTTAGGATGTTTAGGGGTGTTACTGGAGATAGCAATCCGTGAAGAGTTCTGCTCCATGAAGGCCACCTTGAGAAATGCAATACTTTCCCCACCCTGGTTGGGGGTAGCTTGGGTTCGGCGTTGTCCTGGGGAGACAGCAGCAATGTGAGCTCATAAGAGAAGGAATAGGGCAGTCATAGGATAGTGTGGTGACAAGGCAGGCTGGAGTTGGTGTCCCTGAAACAGATGAAAAGCTGAAACAGTCCTTTGGGGTTGTTTCAGACAGAACTGCATGAAGAGAAGCAGCCCAATGTGAAACTGTGAAAATATTTACGGGCCGTAAAGGGGAGGTGGGGGGTGGGTGGAGAACTCTGGCCAGTTTTCCTGCAGTGGTTACTGTGTCAGAGGGACAATAACGAGAGGGTTTAATGAGTTACCTCTGGGAATGACGTTGAGTCACACATCCATGCATCTTTCATAGTGTACTAGCTATAGCCTAAACTGACTTTGCACAACTCCCTCCATGTAAATATCACTTTATAGTTTGTGCTTCAATAAGTAGGCCTAATTGAAATTTAGATATCCCAAACTATAAAATATTTAACAAAAAGAAGTTTTTTAGCTTTTGTGTACCCTGTGAAGTGCCACAAATTTGTGCATCTCGAATTTTAAGCTCGCAGTACATGGAAAAATGCTAAGTTGCATTATACTTTTTTATTAAAAATGAAATAAAAAAGAAACCCCAATATATTTGAGTTCCAGTGATGTTTCACATTGGCAAGAACTGATAGATAATATAAAGATTTTTCATTATGTAAATGTATGTCTTGTTGTATATAGTTCAATTTTTCTTGTATTTAATTGTATTCATGTCTGTATGTCACATCTATGTTGGACTCTGCTGGTAGGCAAACAGTTCTTTTAAACAGGTGGAAATAAAATAAAAACTCAATGAAGTATTCGTGCTTTTAATTGTATGGTGTTAAATGCTTTGGGGAAAAAAAGATCCCAGATCCCAAAATGAATGGAGTTTTGGTGAGTTGGTGTTGGAAGGTGTTGCCTCGTGCAGGAGTGAGGGCGAGATTGCAGCTCCCAGTCCTGCTGCAGGGTCGGGGAGCGGGGACCGGGTGCTTTGGGAGCTGGGAGCTGGTGGCACTTACAAGGATTTGGGCAGAACAGGCGTGTGGTGAGGCGTCTCGTTGCTCCTGCTGCTCCTGTAATGCATGGAAGCGTGCAGGAGAGGGGGCGATGAGTGCGGAGGAGAGGACGTCACGCGGTGGTTTGGAAGTCCCTCTGTACACTTCATTTTACTTCTCCAAACAAGCTAAGTAGATGCTGTTGCCCTGTAGCTCTTTCCTTGTGCTTCTAATTTGTTTTCCTTACTCATTTTTCCTAATGAAGCTTCTGCATTGTAAGGAGGAAGGGGGGAGGCTCGCCTTTTATGTCTGTGTAAGCAGTTTGTAGAGCATCTTAATCACACTCGCATCCATATGTGAGTGCGCTGCATCAGAGGTGCACTGGTAATCTTATTTATTCAGCGGGTGTTAAAATGTGTTATGATGGACCTGAACAGCAGCTTTGGGAGTCAATGTGTTATTCTGAAATATGTTGCTGCTAATGGAACTTGTTAAGTGTGTGTGTTTTCTATTGATCTTTATTTACAGCAGCCTGATGTCTTTTTGCATCTTCTAATTGTGTTTTTCTTCTTCCCCACTCTATCTGCACTGTTTCTGCTTATGCTGGGGAGATTTTAATTTCTGGGAAGAAAGGTTACCTATTTGGGGCTTTTTTTTTAATTATTTTATATTAAAGGGAAGTGTTCTCTAGTCTTAAAAATAGAGATGCTAGTGCAAAATGCTGCTTTCATCTGCAGGTGATCAGTCCTACAAGTCTACAGTAAATACACACCAGTGACAAGCAGGTGCCCAAGCTCAGCTCCTGGCTAAAACATTGCAAGGCAAAGCTCCAAGAATAATTCTCTTTCTGTAAGTCCAGCGTTTGGAGGTACCTTCCCTCAGTGTTAAGTTCCAGTCTCTCCGTTCTGCTGTAGGCAATATTGAGAACAATTTGTATGTTGGATCTTATTTAACAGATTTTTGCAAGGATCTTTGGCAATCTGATTTTCTAAGCTGTTGGTTAATCTCAAATTATTATCGTTATTTTGGATTTGGCTTTGTTTTACATCAGAATACTACAGCTGTTCTCTTCTACAAGAGTGTTAGAAATCTCTGATCTATTTTGCTCTGTGCTGGCTTGCTGCTGAAGGCTATTTGGTGCCAGGGGCTTCTCATTCCCACTTCTATCCCCCCAGGAGCCTCCTGCAGAACCAGCTGGATCCCATTTAAAGGAGCTGAGCAAACACAGGCGGTGTGGAGGCTCGGTCCTTGCTGCCTGGTCTGCTCCCGGTGCTGCTGGAAATAGCAGGTCCCTCAGAACTCAGCTCCGGCCTGCAGTCGGATGTGGCCTTTGTGGGATGAATGACAAGAAGTTCTCACCTTGGGTCTGATGCTGGTTTGCAGTTTTGGAGAGGAGGAGGGGTAAATACAAGATGTGAGCCAGATACCCAAGCGGGGAAAGCCGAAGTCCAGGAGCAGAGAAGACCAGTCCTGAGCTAGGAAGGCTGGTAAGAAGTATAAGATTGAGCCTTTGTGCTTTTATGAGCCCATTTTAGCCCCCCCCCCCCCCTCCCCCCCCCTTTTTTTTAATATGCATTTTTATCTTTTTCCTGATGGTGTGAAACCCATCTTGGTGCTTTCTGTGTTGCTCTGTTTCATGTGAAGACCAAATTCCTACTAGTTTCTTCAGCTGGTTGAAGGGCTGTTAGCGCTGAGATGCTGTGAGGCCTCTCTGTGACATCCCAAGTCCTCCTCCAATTTCTCCTTGTGGGTTCCGGGAAAGTAAGAGGGACAGGAATATCTTGTCTTGGGCTTCCCAGAGGGAAAGATTACCATTATTACCAAGGAAAATCTCCGAGGCTGTGTCCAAATGCAGTCTGAGTTCTCTTCCCAGCCTCTCATTTCAGAATGGAGTCCAACCCATGCTGGTGGTATGTGTCGAGTATGAATATGGAGCCAACACAGTGCATTTTTCTGCTTTTATTGAGAATATGACAGGTCTCCATTTCAAAATGATTTTGATAGTTGCAACATCTTTTGTTCACTGAAGCCCTTAATGACAGCAGCAGCATAAAACTGAATGGCCTTGCCGCCCACTTGTAATGCTGCTAACCAGGTGTTTTAGATACAGACTCGGTGTTTTCTTATTTCCAGTGTTAGATGTTATCTTAAGGTTGCCAGCAAGGCAATCAGAAGCAGATACGTTGGGAAAGAAAGTGTAGATGGAAAATTGTTTGTTTCTGAACTGATTTCCTTTCCCAAATTATGTGAACAAGTTATTAGCAAAATTAAAAAAAAAAAAAAAAAAAAAAAAAAAGGGCATTAAAAACCTTATGCAAGAAAAATTACAGGGTTTGATACCGTTCTAATATAGAGGTGGGGCTTAATAGCTTTAGAGGTCTGTCTACGCAAGAAATTGCAGACACTGATTTTAATCACATCTCAACTCTATACGGGGACACTTGTTCCCGGTCAGCACACAACATTCGCTCTCAGCTCCTGCTGAGGGATCCTCCTGGAGGAGGGGGAGGAGGAGAAGGACCTCTGCCCCCTTTTGCTGTGGTTTATCCTCATTTCCTATAGGGAGGAAATGTTTCTCCTGGTGAGCTCTGCCTGCTGCAGTGGCACGCTGGTGGCAGGGCTGTGCTGCGGTGGCCAGGCTCTGGGAACGACACCTTGCACGGTGTCCTTCACTTTATTAAGCATCTGAAGGTGCCGAGTTGAATGTTTTCTCTACCGCAGGTTCCTCCTTAAATCTCCTTCAAATCCCTGCCCTGTGGAGGAATGGGAGGAAGCCGTGGCTATGGCAGTGACCAATGCTCCAACACAATTCCCCCAAATCCTTTATTAATGGGTGAAACGATCATAGCTTCTCTCTAATTCAGCAATCAGGAATTTAGACATGGATCATGCCTACGTTTGTGCCTCCCTCCTGCCTTCTCGCTGGGGTGCAAATGAATTTGTAAAAGAACCTGTGGTGAGGGTTTAAGTCATTCATTTAACAAAGCTCTTTAAAAGCTTCTTTTCTAACCTGCCAAATTATAGGATGGTTGTAATTTAAGTCTTTCAACATTCAAGAAAATGCCTGCTGCATGTTGGAGCATTAGCACCCCTCAACGCTGAGCAATGCGAGCGTGGGGCTCCAGGACCAGCCGGGGCTCTGCTCAGAGAGAGATCTGTCTGTGGTGACAGGGGCTCCGTGGCTTGCAGAGTGCTAATTAGAAAAAACGCTTGCAAAAGACTGATCTTCCAACACTTCTGGCTAGAATAAATTTGAAGTGCTATTGTAATGGCGAGGGCTCTGTCAGTGGAGGCGGTGTTTTGTGTTTGCCACCTGGTGCTCCTTTCATGTCCGCCCTCTCCGGTGTTATGAGGGCGGAGAGCCTTGCACTGAAAACCACGAGGCCCTGAGAAAGCAAGGGGGGCTTTCAGCTGGAGCCATCTGTAACCTCCAAAAGTCATTTTCATTATTATTATATTTTGAACCCCAAAAATCAAGCGGCTCCATGAACTCCTACAGCTTGTCACTGCTGTTATGGGGCAGGTGTGGGCTGACGAGGCGGGAGAGGGCCGAGGCCTGCCACAGCGCCCTGGGGTAGGCCCCGTTATGGCCTTCACCACGTCTGGGGACACTGAGGGGCAGATTTTGGCCCTACTTGTCCCATCTGCTGTCACCCTGCCTCCTCCCTCATACCTCTGGACGTCTGAATTAGCAAATATCCCCGGTGTCCTTGTGTATATCCTTACTATTCTGTCTGAGAGGCTCCGGGGACAACGTGTTGTGCTTTGGGGCTAGGAAATGCTGTCCTGGGCTTGTGTGGCAGGTCCCAGGTGCCCCACTCTGATGCTAAGGACAAAGATTAACCAGACCAGGATGCAATGCTGGTCAACGTTATAGAAAACCGTGTCTGTTTTAGCTTAGATCCAAAACTTGTGAGGAGTTTTGGCTGTCACCAGGGCAAGCCTGGTTTGTGGAAGCTTTGGCTCGTTCCTAGACAGGGGATAAGGCCCAGGGCTGGGGTTATGTTGCTCCTCGGCCATCCACAACAGCTGCACCACCTGTACCTGGCACAAGAGGCCACCTCTGCCACCCAGCCCAAAGCCAGGATTGCCCCACACAGCTTCTACTCATGCAGTACAGCAGCTGGACTTGGACTTGGACCCTTCTGGTGAGGTACAGCACATAGGGAAGGGTGCCATGACCAAGCGAGCACAGAGGAAGGGGTGTAGCTCTTCCATAATGCCTTGTAGCTGCTCCTTCCTCGCTGTAAGCATGCTGTGTGTCCCTCCTGTGTGCGCTGTGGTTCTGGTGACACCCTGAAGGGGGTGGCCTGCTGGGACAGGGCTTGGGGCAGAAGGACCCCCAGGTCCCTGCCAGCCTCAGCCATCCTGCGAGGCTGGGACGTCCCCAGCAGGATGGGTGGCAGCCGGTGCCAAGCCCTTCTTTGGGGTTTCATGACATGGCCCCGTGTTTTAGGCTTGTGGCAATAATCATCAAAGCATTTGAATAGACAAAAACAGGCTGAGGAAATACGCTGCTGGCGCCTGTTGTGCCTTATCAGTGCAGGCGCACCCCGACAGAGCTCGGGTATTAATGCTCCGAACCAAAATCAGAAGCATCTGTGCATAGTATAGAGCAGTAAGACACCGTTATCTTTATTTTTCATTTATTGTAATGAAATCTCATTGGACCGCCGGGGTTGAAAATTTTGTTCCTTAAACAACAGCAACACAAGTTGATTAGGAATGAATGGCTTTCTGACTAGTCTGTTTTTGCTTTACGCCTGGAGCAATTTGAAGAAATTAGTGGTGAATAGGAAAATTTGTCAGTGTTGTGAATAATTATACCTGCAATTATTAAACACTTGTTATTAAAGCTGATCATAAAGCCAGCAATTTCTGTTCTGGCTGCATACCGATAATATTAAGGATGCCAAGAGAAACACAATGGAGATGATTGGAGATCTTAGTGGGACAGAAGAAAGAAAGCTGGCTTTTATTTAGCCCAACAAGGGAACTGTTGGGGAGGATTTAACTGAAGTATTTCGTATATTGAAGCATATTGCAATAACAGGCCCAGTGTGAGAGGGAAGGGATCACTCAAGTTTAATGGCAAAAGTTAAAACGTGCCCTTGTGGCTCCGAGGTTTCTTTAGCTGGGCCTCTCCAGAGGTCTTTGGTCACAGGAGCATCGTGGCTGCCATTGAACACCTCAGGTAAGAGGAGAAAAGCCTGACCACTACACCAGGGAATGGATGAACAAAAACTCCCAGAATACTGTTTTTCCACAAAAACCAAGTTGACCTCAAGAGCAGAGATGAGCAGAGTGAAAACTCCTATTTTCTGAATGAGCTCAGCGCCGATGGAGAGATTAAGGGGCAGCACTGGGATGCCTCCGTTACGCAGATCTCCACCTAATGCCTCCAGAGAGACAGAAATATTTTCTTTCTACTTGCTATAGAGGAGATGAAACTCCACTAGAGGAAAATAATGGCTATTAACTTCCAAAAGGATGGTGATTTGGTCTGAAATAAAATTCCTGCGGCTGGCAATACGTGCTGGAGTTGTAAGATCAAGTAGTGAATTACCTGCAACACTGCTACATGGGGAGGGCTTTGGAGCTGTGAATGGGGGGAAAGTGTGCCACAACCCATTGAGCAACCGGTAATGCAAATCACAGGGGGGAAAGAAAAATAAAAGAGAGAGGAGGGAAATAAATTAACTTCCTAAAATGTTGTCCCATGGCCCGGGAGGAGCACCAGGCCAGGTCATTGCCATCGTCCAGCTCCTGTTCCCGTGGCAGCTATGGCATGATGTGGGTTTTTGCATGGCCAAGCTTGGCTGGGGTGTTGGGATTTGCTTCCTGCCCCAGTCTTCACTGGTGCCCTTGTTGGGGGCCACGAAGTGACCCCTACGAAGTTGTCAGTGCGTTTTAAAACCCACAGAGACCAGGGACAATGTTCTTGCATTAAATACATCTCAGGGTCTTCCTTTCATGTTCTCCAACAGCATCACCATGGTCTGGTGGCACCCAGAAGCCAACAAAACTTGCATGTGGGTAGACGTGTGCCTTCTGGCCTGACCAACTGCAGGGCTGTCCCCCCATGGGCATTGCTGCCGGTCCAGGAGGTTTGGGAGCTTTTCCAGGTCACTAAGTCGGGGTAGGTCAGTGATGGGGGGCTCAAGGCATGCAGTGGTGCTGAGCAGGATGGAGAGCAGTGAAGGATGGATTTGGGAGGAAAGCTCCCTGTTTCGAGGCGATGTGCTCCTCACAGGCACCAGGTGCCTGCATCGCCTGTAGTGGGGGAGCTCACGCGTGGAGATGTCTGCTTCCTGGTGGTTTTATGTCTTGGTAGAAAGACTTCAAAAATTACCCCTTAATTAATCTTACATTGAAATCGAGCTGGCTTTACATGGCTGTATCTGTTGAACAGACTGATGTACCATCTCGGGTCTGTTTAACTGGAAAGTGACGCTGCTCCTGGAAGCCATCACGTGTTTCCCTTAGCTGAGAGCTGACACGCTGCAAAATGTTCTCACTCCTCGTGCAGGCAGCCGGGCTCTGTGATGAGCGCCGTCCTTATGCCTTAAATGAATTTGAAATCTCTTAATCCGAATGCTTTATGCTGGTTTAGGACGTGGCAGTGCATCTCCAGGGGCTGTTAACTTTTCAGGGTCAGCATGCTGCACTCCACTCTGCGCTGCTGATGGGGGCTGCATCAATGTTCTCTTCCAATGCAGTTTTAAAGAATGAGAGAAGACAAATGAGAGAATTTTAATAACCTTCAATTTTTTTTTTAGGGGTCTGTGTAAAAATAGCATCTTGAAAGATGAAGATTAACTATTTCAGCACTGCTGGGAATTTTTGTGTCTCGGAACTGGCTCAGTTTAACAGACACGAACTTGAGCAGCCTCCTGGTTGGTTTCTTTCTCTTCCCAAAGGAAGCATCCGAGCACACCTTACCCACTCCCTGCACCTTCTCTCTACTGCACCAGAGGCTGCTGCTCCACCTGGTGCTCCCCCAAGGGGTCTCGAAGGTATTTTCAGCCTCATCAGGACGGAATCACCATTTATCCCACATGCCCATACCTATTCTGTGACGGGCTGACCGCTCCCTGCTCAGCATCCTTCCCCACCAGTTACAGTCTCCAGGTTTAATGTCGCTCCCCCAGCAGCGCTGGTGCTGAGGCTGCCACCGTGAGTTAATTAGCAGTGAATTATGTGCTGCAGAGGCTTCCTACAATAAGCGAGGTGAGAGCAGGAAGCAGTGATGCAAGAGCATACACTGCGTAGTACAATGAGTAACTGGGGATCTGGCGTGAGACACACAGGAAAAATCCCTGGCTACAGATCAGTGCTGCAGTCCCCCACTCACCTCCTACCTCACCGACCCCCAGGGAGCCTGCGACCATGCTCTCTTGCTCTGGTTTTAATTGCTCGTGCTTGCATTTTACTTTGTGTGCAGCACAGCCCGAAGCAAAGCCCACGATGCTGCCCTGCCTGAGGAAGGGGAGACTCGCACAGGTGATGGCTTGCTCAAAAACTGACCCGTGGCACCTGCCTGCAAACATAGAGCTGGCCCCGTGCTGCACCGAGGGGCGCGGGCAAGGCCGACAACCCTGCAGGGACGGGGCAGGCAGTCAGGCAGTGTCGATGCACTTTGAAGAATTATAAATCAAGGAAAATGAGAGTGCTGCAGGATTTCAGCGTGTCGGAGGCAGATTAAAAGGCGGTAACATTCAGGAGCAAACAAAAACATCAAGCGAGATTTATGCTGGAACAGCCTCGGCGTTCCCGGCGCTCCCTGCACCCATTAGCACAGAAGGGTGGTAAGTATGTAATCTGCCATCACTGTGTACAAGCTGCTGCTGGGCTGATGCTCACACCTCATTCAGATGCACGTTGTGCCCTCTGGATGCACCACGGAGCTTTGGGAAGCAAGGGCGTTAAATAAATACACAGCCAGGGAGCAGGGCTGCAGGACTGGTGCTGCTGTGAGGCCGGGCTCCCTCCATCTCCATCCTCCTCCTCTCCACTTTTCCAGACCCAAGGAGTTTCTCTTGCAGGCTGAGGCTGATGTTCTCCAGTCTAACACTTGGTCTTGATGATCTCAGAGGACTTTTCCATCCTGAATGATTGTCTGTGATTCTGTGAAAGAAGACCCAGCCACATGGCTGATGCCCATGCTATTTGGCCGTGTATTATGTCCCAGTCCTCAATTCAATCTTGAACCCTAAGGGACTGGGCAAAGCTGCCCTGAGAAGAGGTGTCCTACAAACTGTGGTAGAGCCTGGGGCTGGCTTTATTAATTTTCCCTTAAAACGTCTGGCATTGATTGCTCGGATACAGGCGGAGGAGCTGGGCCGACCTTGCTGGACATCAAAGCCTACCCTGCGAGACTGGAGCTTAATGTTTCAAAGAAATCTGCGCCGCATCCAAGTGTGTACAGGATATGTGCATGGCTTCCCCGTGGATTTATCAGAAGGAAAACCAAAACGGAGACAAACATCTTCTGGGGTGAGCTTGCTGTTTGTTTTCTTAGGGCACCGACTGAAATGTATCCATGAAACCAAGCAGCCATTGCTTACAAAACCACGGGGTGTTATGAAATCCTGAGCCCGAGGAGGTCAGCAGAAAGGCTCCAGCAAGGCTAAATCAAGCTTCAAATAAATGTGGTTTTGGTTTGCGGCGAACCTCTGGAGAAGAAATTCCAGAGAAATGGTATAAAGTTTGGGACAAACTCCCTGAGATTTCGGGAGGCAGCGAGGGGCCACATGCTGCAAACCCGTCCCCCGGGGAGGCAGGGGAAGGAACATGCGCCTCGACTCGTGGGTGTGGGGCCATAAATTGGGGTCTTCCTCAGGTAACCCGAGGCCCAGCCCTAGGCACTAACAGCATTTGTAACCATCGCATTAGAGGACAGCGCTAAATGAGGATTAAATGATTAATTTCGTTGTTTACCATGCAGTTGCAATGCTCATTCCCAGATGCAAAGACTCAAACTGCATTAGAAAACACTCACCGTCTCGCTGAATAAATGCCCTCATTTGTCTTTTTTTTTTTTTGTTCCTTACAGGTCTTTAAAAAATAATTACAAATAGATCTTTTCTTTCTGCCTTTTCCCCACCTCCCTGCAAACAATGGCCTGTCCAAGGGCACCTCGGCTGCAGCTGCTGCTACCTGCAAGAGAATATATTACAGCCTTCACCTCCAGGATCACCTTGGAAACGGCGGAGCAGCTTTATGTGGTGTCCAGAGGAGACCTGGCCGTGGTGCAGGGCCTCAAAAAGGGCATTGCCCTTCTGCAGAGCGCTCTCGATCCTCTGTCCGTGGGTCACAATCCCCGGGTGGTTGCATCCTGGCGTGGGCTGGCACATCCAGCCCTATGGGCATGGTGAGGTGAGGGTGGATGCACCAGCATCTGCCCCAGGTGCTGGGTGCTGGGGCTGGGAAGCTGTTTCAGGCCCTGTTTCAGCTGTTTCAGGCCCTGTTTCAGCTGTTTCAGGCCCTGTTTCAGCTGTTTCAGGCCCTGTTTCAGCTGTTTCAGGTTGTCAAGCTCTCTGCTGTGTTATCACCAGGAGGAGTCTTCGCACCACGGAGAGGAGGGAGCCCGCTGCTGCAGCAGCAGGGAAGCTGATGGCAAGGCAGCCGCAGCTGCACCGTGCTGAAATCCATCCCTGCCTCCACTGCCTGAGGTCCTCCTGGTAAGGAACAGCTTCACAGACCTGCAGCTAGTGGTGAGCAAAATGGCAATGCAGCCATTTGGCCTCTTGTGGCAAGGGTTTAGGCATGAACAACACAGCAGAAAAGAACTATGTTTTCCCCTAGGACAAACACACGACAGAATATACACGCAGAATGAAATCAGGCTGCTGTTTCTACCTTCTTATCCACAGCTTTTCCAAGGGGTTACCACCCGTGCTCCCTCTGTGCACATGGGACAGCTCTGCTGGCTGCTGCAGGGACGGCTGTGGCATCTCTGCAGCGTTTTGGCCGCTCCAGAGACCGCTCCCAATGCACAGAAGGAAAAGTGAAGGCCTGGTATAGGTCAGGCTCGTAGCATTCATCTCGCTGCAAACCAAGGGGATGCTAATTGTTCTACCTAATCACCGGGGAATTTTGCAAGAGCTGTCCTATCTCTTTGGCAGAGCGCAGAAGCGATGGCAGGGTGGCAGGGAGATGTCACCATGCCAAAAGGAGTGGGGGAGCAGGCATGACAGGTACGTGGGCCCCTGGGCATTGCATTTCTCATGAAATGAGCTGCAATTTGTAATATTTTCACCAAATATATGTATATTTCAGTAATGGGGATGCTGATGAGAGTGAACCCAGAAAAACGGTGGACATCAACAGAGACTGCATGATGGAGGTCAGAGAGAGAGTGTTAATTGCCTTCAGAGGGCCAGCTTGTGAGCTCTTTGCAGTATTTTTACCTGCCTTTACCTCTTGAGGAGGCACAGTGATGCTGTAAGAACAGGGCTGTGGGTGATGGTGGTTCAGAGATCTGGGTGCACATCCATGGGCTGCAGAGGAGCCCCCTGGCCATGCAGCAGGTCCAGCAGCCTTGCTATAGGGGCAGGAGCCATACAGCACTGATCAGCACCACTTTTATCAGAACGAGGTAAGTTCATGGGGACAATAACCTCATGGTCTGTTGTTTTTTTTTTTTTTAATTCATGGGTGTTGAGGATTTCAGCTGAAGGCTGAGCTCTGGGATCGGCACCAGGAGCATCCCCGGTGCTGCAAGGCCAGGACCAACTCCCTCCGCCCTGCTTACAACTGGGGAAAATCAGAGAGAAAACGGGCGCTTGGCGTTGCCATGGATACTGTGAGGCTGGACTCGCCGAGAAGGAAAAGGTTACAGAAATCTGGATGCATCCTGAAAACGCTCCAATTGGCTTTGTTTTATCAAAAAAAAAAAAAAAGTTCCTTTGCTTGTGCAGAGGTGACGTGGGCGGCCTCGCAGTTTCTGGTTCCTGCTCCCTCGCCCTCGCCCCATCCCCTCTTTGCTGCAGGCCCTGTGTCCACTGCTGCAACTGAACCCCCAGAAATGCCTTTAACACTCTCCTTCTTCCTCCCCTGTCTCTGGCCACCACCTCCCCTCTCCCTGCCCACCTCTGTGCCCTTGTGGGGCTTCCAGCCCCCCGCGGGGTTGGAAGCAGCAGTTCCTTTCTTCCTCTCTTCAGGGCATCACAGCCTGGACGTCAGCAGCTTCTCCCTTTCTTCCTTCCTCTCATTGGAAGCTTCTTTGTGGGAGACAGCAAACAAACCCAAACCAGTCCCAGCCTTGGCCCACCGCTGAACCCAAATATGTTTGCATTTCTCCACAAAAGCCACCACATCCCAGGCGTCACAGCCAGATTGCGAAGTGCCCTCCAGAACGCCCTTCTTGCATCTCCTCTGCTTCCACTCTTTCTGTTCTTCCCAATAATTATAGCTGAGGGTGAGACAAAGCCATCATTGTACTTGCCCTCCAAGGATAACATGGGGGAAATGCTGTAAAAACTCCCCCGAGTTAGCTGGTCAGAGCAGAGGGGACTCGTCCCTGCAGTAACACAGCATTATATTATATTTATATTATTTGGTACTGATAGAACTCGAACATTTATTAGACTGCTGTGAGATAGTGATTTAGTATTTTATTGCCATTAAGGAAAAAAAAAATCCTAAACGGATTTAATAAATGCTTGAGGGATGGTGCTTTAGCAAGCCATCACAAGTGCTGTGACAAGGCGGTGGATGTATTACCTTTACAGCAGGATCTGAATTGCCCAAATGTTAAGCCATCTTCTCACATGATGACAAAAAGCACAGCTTCTGAAGAGTTGCCAGTATTAGATACCTCTTCGTAGGTGGTTTTACAGAGATTTTATTTGTGCCTCATTTAATTTCCACCATATTTTCCACTGACTCCTTACTCAATGTTACCGGTATGTTTGGTAGGAGAAAGCCATCATTTAATTCAACTGAGGTAGCTTTTCTGACAGATCAACCTACTTTGTAGATAAGATTTATATGGTCTTCGCAATCATCCATGATTTATTTTGAAAACAAAGTGCCAGATAGCACGCTGGAGAGGCTGGGAGGGAAGATTTGTGCAGTGTTTTTTATTTCCATTTTACCCAAGGGAACCTGAGGCCAAGGAGGTTAAATAAATGCTCCGAGTCACATGGAGCACTGGGCAGAAAAGGAAATTCAACCCAGACCTCTGCACGTCCTATCCTAGAGCAGGGAACGTCAGATGGGTAACCTTGGTCAGGGGATTCTCAGCAAAAGTCTTCTTTCAAGAAACAAATTCCTGGCAGTCCTTCCCCTGCTAGCTTTCGAAGCTTTCACACTGCCAAAAAATGAATTGCTCTCTTTGACAAAGCTTTCGAATTCATTCAGGCTGAATCTGTTTCCCCTTCTGGATTTCAGCTATTAACCACTATTTTTATCTCTGGCACATCCAGCCACCACATATCCTTACATAAAGCCACTTCCCGCTTTTTCCTTTGAAGTAAATGGGATTGCTTGAAATGTAGGCATGCAGAAAGGTGGCTCCTCTTTGAGAAGTGCAGGATTTCCAGGCAAATCTTCAGCGCAGAGTACTCCTCACAGCAAAAAGTAGTTTTGCTGAGGCCCATGATGTACTGTGAGGAGTGTTTTTATTCACCATTTATTTGCAGCCATGTAATGAAATATCTCTTCTTTGTTCCAGCCTGTTTCCAATTTAGTCACCAAGAAATAAAGGAATCCTGAGAATACACCCATCTCTTATCTGGCACAACAGCAATGTCAGATTTTTAATTTTGAATGAGACGACTAAAAGTGCTTCATTAGACAAGGAGAGGGAGCTGCTGCATGGGCTGGAGAAGCTGGGACGTGATGGGATATTCCTACAGCGGGCAGTAAGTGTACATCCCACTATCACAACCCAACCCAGCTGCTCTGCTTCCTCTGGCTTCAGCTGGCAGCAGTTGGCTACAGCCATGCAGATGTTTTCAAAGGGGGAAGAGAAAATTTCTCATTTGTCAATGAGCCTTGACTCAGGTACCCGTTAGCCACCATGGGGAACAGTGACCCTCCAAACACAATTTGTGACTATTTAATGTTGCAACGCTCTCTCACTGCTGTTCAAAACCATTTGGGCACCATCCTGGAGAGAACTGGGAGTATGCGTGAGGAAGACTTGCACAGAAGAAGCCAGAAAGATGCAGTTTTTGTGGCCAAACTTGCCAGTATTTAACCCGGGGGATCAGAAGGGCAGAAAGCAAAGGAGCAATGTGTTGGAGCATGGTGCCTTCAGGCTGCGTTTCGGTGGTCTCCCTCGATGTTCTCAAGAAGCAGTAGGGTTACATGGGGTGAAACGTTTGCAGTGTCCAGTCTTTCCTTCTTCCCCCCCTTTCCCAAACACACAGCATGTGTCTGACGGGCAGATCCACTCTCTGGAAAGTGCTAGTTGAAATACGAACTTTAGTGTACAACTGCACACCAATGTCCCCGTGAAGTTAAAGCAAAAGGTATGTTCAGATGTGGATTATAAATGTGAGCATAGGGATTCATTTCCTTATTATCCACATGCATGAACAGTACAGAACACCTAGGTTTTTTTGCTACTTCAAAATAAATAAATAAACTTAGCAAAAGCTCTGAGACCCAGGAGCTGTAGCCCTCTGCTAATGGTTTGTGCCCAGAAACAGTGCACGTTAACAAGCCCGTCTCTGCTGAAGCTTTTGATATCGCTGTTGCACTTGACAACCCCGACACTGAAGTGGCTCGGAAAATGTCTCTGCTGGCCTTGCTAATGCGCAAACTGCCTCCTTGCACTTACCGAAATGCCTCTTGCAAGCACACACTGTGCAAACACGTCAGTGTTTATTAAATCTGGGCCTGAGATGTGGAGCGGCCTCAGTCTACTCCGATACCACGGAAGACAATGTTCCACCCCCTGCAGGGTCAGCTCTTAGCTGGTAAATAAAGCTATATTCTCATTCTTCATCAAGTAAATTCCCTTTCTCTGGCAATTGCACACCCTTGGAGTGATGCCAGCGCTATCTGAATGTGACTTGCCCTTTGGGGAATTTCCTTTAATATTTTCTCTCAGAGGGATGAGAGAAGCTCAGCATTATGACGCCCTGTATTCATATAAATACCATGAAATGGTTGTTTACAGTCAGCTGTGCAATAGTCCAGCAAAAAGCCCCGCTGTGCTCATGATGGGAAGGGTTTAGAACAACAGGTAGCTCTGAGAGGACCTGCAGCCAAAAGCTAGATGTATTTATACTTGCTGCTATGAGATTTCTGGTGCTCAGCATCTTTGGGGATCGTGTCTCTATATTAACTGCTCAAGCTTTCTGAAGATTGAAAGGCACAGCCTGGACCCTAGGAGACAACGTGGAAATGAGTCAACAATCCAGGGGCAAGCCCAGTCAGTTCCGATAATCTCATCAGGCAAACTAAATATTTAAGTTGAAGCACAGACACTTTTTGTGGTGAGGATTTCAATTTGGACTGGAATTTCACAGCTGTTTTTGGTGTCTTTGATCTTGAACCAAACTCGAGTCCCCAGATGCCCCAGGCTCTGAGGAACCTCAGAGAAGCCATCTCTGAATCTCGGTCTGAAATACGCTGCTCTGTGGCAGTGGGAATCGAGTTTCCCATGGGTTTGGGCTCTGCATTCCTTCCCTTCCCCTCCCAGCTCTCTCATTTCCTCCCCGCCTGGCCGGGCGAGCGGCAGCATCTTTTATGCCGTGCTTGAAGTTACCCACGGGCAGACTGGCCGGCGGGTTCCTGCCTCTCCTTACAGATAAGAGACCAAAAGTGTTTTTCCCCTTCGTGGTGCTACCTGGGGGACATGCAAGTTAATGTCTGCCTAAAACTTGTCAGATGGCACAACTGGGGGATCTCTGTGTCTGTCAAGCGGGATTGAAAGGGAAAGGTGGATTAAAAAAAAAATTCTTAGCCGGTCACTGAGACAAGGTGGCAGCATAGGTGTTGGTTTCCTTTGAACACTGTTATTGAAGCAGAATCTTGGTTATAGAAATCAACTTTTCCATTTTACCTCTTTTTTTTTAATGCTTAAACAGGTGTGTTCTGCATCTGAGACCTTCGATTTGAACACAGGATGAGTCTACTTAATGGTGTTGGGTCATTCCCATTACCCTTGTGTCAGAAGCAAAAGCAGCACAACTTCATTTTGGAGCTTTGTCCTCAACCATCCTGTAGCCAAAGCATCACGGTTTGGCTCTAGATGTCTGCAGCACAGCCTAGGGTGCAAAGAAGACAGGCTCGTGGGGATCGGAATCCACCCCTGTGAAGAAGTGAGAGGCTTTTGAGGGCCCTCTTCTCTCTGACTCTGCTCAGGAGTGCCCTCACTGGGCCGGCCTCCCTGCAGAGGCCATTGAATTAGTGAACAAGCTGTCAAACCGTGAAGATTCATGCAGTGACCATGGGCTTCCTGAGGGCAGCAGCAGGTAATGCTCCTGGCCTTGCACCACCGACACCGCTGCTTCCAGGCAGGGCCGTATCCAGCAGAGCCTGAGCTGCAGCAGAGCTGTTAATCCTTCAACAACAAAAGGTAAACTTTCCTGTGACAATATGTTCTCCATTGCCCAGGATTTTTAAGGCTGGGTCCAGAGACCTTCTGAAAAAATATCTTGTCATTCAGCAACAAATCTGGGGACATCCTGATAACAAGTGAAAATTTAAGAAGGTGGGCAGATAAATCAGTCTTTTCTAGGCTTAAATTCTGTGCCTGTAGCATCCTCGGGCCCAGGTTCTCCACTTTCTTTGTTCAACCAGGATAGACAAAAGATGCTGCCTAGGACTGCTGCTAGTCCCCTGGTGTCGTGCTGGTGGGGAGATGTCCCATCCAGTGTCCCCTCTCTCCTGCCACCAGAGAAAGGTGGTGTGAGCACCCAGACCCCCTCATTTTGTTACTCTGGGTTCAACCACTCCACAAACGGCAGCCAAAATTCATTAACTTGATTGCTCAGAGCTGGCAGCAGTTTGGAGAAGAAGGAAAGAAACTAGGAAAGAAAATGTTATCCCTTATCTCTGCTGGGTTTCTCAGGCACAGAGTGGAAACCTGGGTGATCCATGAGCTCTGCTGAGCATCCTCATGTTATGAAGAGATCTGGTATCACAGCCACAAGTCTCCTGTATCGTATCTCAGCGATAGGGAAAAATAAATTCTATGGGATATTTTGAGGAAACAGCTGATAGAAGAGCAATGAGATACTGTCTTTTCCCCTATGGTAATAAATTTAAAAGCCAAAGAAGCAGAAAGATAAGCCATAAGAAAGACGCTCAAGCTTCATTGTTCATTTTGATAATGTTAAAATGCTCGAGATCAACGAGTGCAAAAGCAGGATGTGCTTCCATCGGCAAAACTTAAAATGAAATTAGATGTCTGCTTTACGTGTTAATGGCTGCCAAGAAGCATGCTCTGATCTTGCAGCTGTCATACTCTAGTTTAAAAATGATGGATGGATCAGCATCTTCTAAAAGGTGAAATGAGAGGGTCAAAAGAGCCCTGCAGGAGGAGCTGGATCCAGATGAACCATTACTTGAACAATTCTGACCTGACAGGGACTGGCACCAGAATCATCCCCAAAGGTTGGCACTGCTCTCAGGCACAGGCTGCCAGTGCTTAATTTAAGGATTATTGGCAGTCTGCAAGGGATGGAGGCAGAAAGGGAAGGCGAGCAGCCTCAGTCGTGGCCTCCAGAGGAGCAGAAAGGCTGGGCACAGGGCTGGAAACTGCAAGCAAGGAGATGCAGCTGTGTTTTCCCACTGCGCTGGGGCTCTGTGGATAAAGCAGATTGCACTATGGAAATATCCTTTTCACTCCATCAGCTCACCAGCAGAGCTCAGACTGCGTAGGTTAACACCTGCACTGAAAGGTGGAAATTGGATTTTCTTCTGAAAATCGAGCTGGGAGAGTAAACTTCATTCCCTGCACACTTCATGGTAAGGGCTCAGAGGCGGGCTCCTCCAAGCTGCTCCACTTCATTTCCAACTGCTGCGGGTATTGCTGGTGGGGGATCCTCCGTCTGCGTGCCAGCAGCCTGCAGGCACATTGTTCCCCGTGTGCAGGTAGAGCTTACGATTTCATTAGGATACCCTGGAATTGTGCAGTCTGAGCTGCTGTCTTTGTACTGATGTGCAAAACATTTCTTTGTAACTAAGAGGCAACAATACTTTGTAATGCAGAGATGTACAACCTTTCTGTATGAAAAATGTCAGCTCGCGCAGAGCAGCATCACCTGACATATTTCAATGGCCAGAATGAAGCCATGCCTCATAAAATACAGGAGGTGTTTGAAAAGCTATCCTTCAGAACAGGCTGAAAGAGTACTCCAAGGAAGAAAAAAAGGTTAAGAATCAAATATTGGGGAAAAGTTGCTGAATGCAGTTGACATACGCATTCTAGCAGTATTCCTATGGTAAGAAACGGAGCTCTCTTCAGTTTATTTACTGAGGCATTCAGGAGAAAAAAGATAATTTTCTCGCTTTTGAGTTTCTGTGTTTATTATTTATAAATTCAGCATGATACAAAAGTCTTTCAGCATTGGCACTGTGAACAAGCACCCAGAAATCACACATTTTCTTGGCTACACCAGGTATGAAATCCAGGTTTCCCTGGGATGTTGTTTTCTATGGCAGACACTCAAACAAATCTTTCTGCAAGACCTCTGTGCTTGCAGGTTTAACGAACACGTTGTTTAAGGGCGAGTGAAGATTGTCCAGGAAAAAAAAGCCAATAACCATAAAGCCGCAAAGGTCATAAAGCTAATCAAATAAAATTTTATTACACAGCAGGTGAGATTCCCTTTATTCTGCTCTAAACTTTCTCTGCATTAGATAGTTTTCTCAGCTGAGGCATCTGGCTGTGAAACAAATTCCAGAGGAGATTAGGTGAAACTGAATTTGGCCTTCTGAAGAAAAAAACTGCAGTCCTTTGCCTTACTGAAAGCCCTGCGAGAAGAATGGCATTGCTTGCATCATTCTTCAGTTCAGAGCCACCATGCAACAAAAAAACTCCCTCCATCAAAGCCAATAAATCTATAACCTTTCCCCAAAAGTTACGCATGCTTTGGAAAGGAGGCAGTGCCTAGGACCCTATGAAACCCATCCAGGAATTTGTTTTCAACATCCCTAGTCTGCAGAAGGAGCTCAGATGCTCTTGTACCGTGCACAAGACTTGGAGGTATGCTGATTAAATGGCACCCAGGATGCTGTGATGCTGCTTCAGTGATCTGTGTGCTGGTTTGCAATCATGGTCCTGTCCCCGGAGACACACAGAGCTCTTCTGTGAGACCTCAGGGACCTGCAGGTGCTCTACCAAAAAGTGCTGGGATGTGAGTTCAGCATGTTGACACAGAGAGGGTCTCTCACCATGGCAATGATCCTTATGATGTGATAAAGCACTTGGGCTCCATATTTTTCAGATGTTTTTATTATTTTATTTTATTTTATTTTATTTTATTTTATTTTATTTTATTTTATTTTATTTTATTTTATTTTATTATGTGTAAATACATACCTCCCTTTGTCCACACGTGCATGTTCACTGTCCTGTAGAGAAGCCTTTTAGAAAACTGGAATTGCTGTTAAAATGACCCCCTGTTGGACAGCAAAGACAAAATAGTGATCGTTGCAGAATAATTACATTGACAAATTACTGGAGTTGGCTAATGTTAATGTCAACGCAGCGCCCCATGTCTTCAGTAAAACTGCACCAGTATGGGGGAAACAGAGAAAAAACAGGCCACAAAACTAAGTTTTGGAAATGTAAATAAAACAATAGTTCAGTGAGTGGGGGTAATTAAAGGATGGTGGAGAAGAGAAGGACAGCTTTAACTCTTCTTGGAGCTGCTGTGCAGCATGTGAGTTGCTCCTTTAACTTATTATTGCATGAAATACATAATTTACAACCACTTGAAATCAAAGAAACCGTAAATTTTACCCTCCCTGGCACAGAGCCTATTTTTTCAAGAACAGTAATGATTAGCAGAGCACCTATTTTTTAAGTGTAGTTATAACAAGAGTTCAGTGGCATGGATTCCTTACGTCATTGTGAGTGCAAGAGGGGGCCAGCACAAATATTCCAGTAAAACCCTACTGGGTTATCCCAGACCCCTTGGCATTGTGAATGCACAACTTGAAGGTAACTGTGACCTGCAGGACTCTCCACAGAGGCTTTTATTGACTTTATGCTTCACAGATAAAACCACAACGCTACTGAAGCTCGGCTGGTTCAAAGGAAGGCCATCTGAATGCACTGCAGCATTCTGCACTGTTTATGCAGTGAGTTTTTATAAATGTTCCTGGAAAACTTGAAAAACTTTAGGAGTATAAATGATTTTTCCCCCAAAAGGATATTGAAGTGCAATGCCATTCTTTAAATTAACAATGAGGTAAATGAAAGTTAGTTTGTTCAAATGACTGGCTTTATTTTTGTAGGGATGAGGTGGAACATTTTAAATAATTTGATTCAAGTAAGGGCAAGAATCTTGGTTGTAAGTCTTCGCAGCAGGCAAATTAATTTCCTTTTCCTTTCGCTCCAGTTCATACAAATGTTCAAATCCACCACCAAGCTGGCAAGTTCATTTCTAAAACAACCTACTGGCTCAGCAGCTAATTGTAAGTTAAAAATAAGGTGTGGTAGCTGAGTGCTGTTCAAAGCCATAAAAGTACTTCATTTTCCCCAGCACTAGTATTTACTTGCAG